GGAACCCTAAAAAATATCAGTACGCGCCACATAGATCAAACGGCAAAAGGGGGTTAAGGCACAAATCAATATGACCCATTAGATCTGACCCAATCCAACGGCCAGAAAGCAATCTCAACGGCCAGAGGCGATCTCAATGGCTAGAAGCATCGCGCATCATCGGTCAAACATGCAGCACGATCAGAACAAACACATTCCAAAAAATGGAAACCCAAATACATGCAACAACCGACCACCCTGAACAAAACGGGAACAACCCCGAGGGTACTGGAAACAACCTTCACCGAGAGGGTTATAAATACCCCGGTGAAACAACGATCGAAAGACAACAACAAGAACAACAAGACCAACAAAAACGATCATCGAACCCATCAACCAAAAAACACAACATCGAGCCACAACAGAAATAGCGAAATACAAACCACAACAGTAAACCACAATACACAAAAGAAAACCCAAAAGCCAAGCAAAACACAAACACAAAGAACATCGGGGAAGCAAAAGGTTTTTCGAAAAAAGTAAAAAACTCGAAGCTTTTTTCTTAGATCTATGTCAAGGGGCCTCGATTTAGAGTGATCAGGGTTCGAATTTGGTTTAAGGGAGTTATGGAGCGGCGGTCGGCGACGACCAGCCTGGTGGCCGGTTTCCCTCCGGTGAGGGGTTGTAGATAGAAGCCAGAGAGAATTCTTTGTTCTCTATATTAGTGAGAGAAAGGAAAAATGCAAAATGAGGGGATGGCCTTTGAAGGCCAGTTTTGGGGGTATAAATACCCTCATGCGACGTCGTTTTGGGGAGGAGTTTCTGCATTCTTAATTTGTGGGTAAATTACACCCACATTCCCTGTAAGCTATATTTTTTACATTTTAGCCATTGAATTCAAGTTTTAGTATTTTAATTTGGATCTCGATTTTATTATTTTTACATTCTAGCCCCTAATTTATGTTTTATTCAAAAATGGCCTTGGAATTTATGCATGTTTTAATTTAGCCACTATTTCCTTTTTTCCTTATTTTGATTTAACCACTGCTATTTTAATTTTGGCATTTTGATCATTTATTTATTTATTTATTTCGGTTTTTTAATATTTATTTTTAACATTTTTTCAGTTTTTTATTTCAATATTTAGCCTTATTTATTTATTTATTTATTTATTTATTTATTTATTTTATTTATTTATTTTTCTTTTTTTATTTTATTGATCTATATTTATCCATTTTATTTATTATTATATTAATTATTTTTTATTATTGTTTTTTATTTACAATCTGACAATATTCTTGACTCTTTTTAGGGGAATTTTTAATCGACCAAAGGTAAGTAATTCGAATCGGGTTTTTAAATTTTAATTTAAATTTCTAATTTCTCGCAATTAAGACAACTACAAATTAATTGGTACCGAAAGGCAGTTCAAGGGTGCTAATCCTTCCTTGACTGTAACCGACTCTCGAACCCGACACATTTCTGGTAAAACGCGGATCGGGTAAGATGGTGTCCGATCTACCTAAATATCGTTCTAAAATGATCGGTGACGACTCTAACGTTTTTATTCAAGTCAAAGCTCAATTCCGGACCCAACCGAAAGACGGTCGTGACAAGTATATACGATGTTTTTAAAGGAAAATAACTGTATTTCAATGAGATAATGAAAGTCACCGTATCCTAACATGCTATGAAAACTAAAAGAAAAAAAATCAGAACGTCTTCGGGTAAGTAAACTACACATTTTCTTAAAAAAAAGTAACATCGTTGCTAAGGTAGTATTTGTATACATTTTCTTTTAATATTTAAGATGATTATAAGATAGTATTTATATATAATTTCTTTTAATTATTAATAATGTGCATACACCTATATATATATATATAACTATTTGAACTCAAAAGTTTTTAAAAAAGTAACATCGTTGCTAGTACAATAATGTTTGATTGAATATTTTTTAAAAATTACACATTTATAAATTATAAAAAAGTATTAATATTTTATAAAATATTTAAATTAACTACCATGTCAGCGCTCACATTAATTGTTAACGGCAAGTGACTTGATTGAATACATTTAAATAGATTAATGACCTGATTGACAAAATTTTAAAAATGGTGGACAAAATGAAAAGAGACAATAGTTAGGTGATCACTGATATAGTTTATCCAAAAAAAAATTATGGAAAATAATATAATAAATATTTTATTTTAATTAATTTACCTTTAAATTTTTAACTAATTTATAATTATACGTTGAGTCCATTAGAATTTTAAATTTTTATAAAATTAAATTAATAGTGCTCATCATTAGTGATGCATAGCGATACTCATCGAGCATGGAAGAATAATCCTTATTCTATACATCTATATATGTTAAAAAGGGTGATCCACTTAAATTGTGTAAAGTTATTTTATATTTACACTTTTTTAGGACAATTGGATTGAGAAAAATCAAAAGTTGAGATTAATTCTTTTATTTTTTTAGTAAATATCTTCTCATTTTCTACTATTGATCTCATCCTTTAATTTCTCTCATCCAATAATCCTAAGAAAATATAAAATTAAAAGAGTTTTGCATTGTGTAATTGAATTCAACTCATGTTAAAAGAATTCCTTAAGGGTGCGTTTGGTTCACGGAAGGAAAGATTACCAGTGGGAATAAAAGATTATTAGGGAATAGGATTACTGTGAATGTTATATTTTGTGTTTGGTTGGCTTAGTAGGAATGTAAGATTACCGTGTTTGATTAAAAGAATAAAAGATTATTGGAATGTATATTTTACCAAATTATCCTTATTATATATTTGTTTTTTTAACAAGTTGAATTCTACCATAATATTACTATAATTAATTTATATATTTTTAAAAAAAAAATTAAATTCATAAATTTGTATACTTTTTTTACAAAATTGAAAAGATAAATAGGTTTAAGGGTAAACTTTTATTTTAACCCCTGAACTTCATATAAAATTATAATTATGACTTTTTTTTTATAAATTTAAAATAGTTTAAGGATAAATTTGTAATTTAACCTTTGTAAAATTTTTATTATTTAACGACTGAAGAAGGATAATTTTGAGAGAAAAATTTTAAGGGCATTTTAGTCCAAAATACTGGTAATTCAACAATACCTAAGGAAAGGGGGTAATCACAATCTTGGTAATATATCCAAAAAAATTTATTGTTGGTAATAAAAGATTACCGAAAATAAGATTACCGACCAACCAAACGGGGAATGAGAATTCTATTCCTCGCCCTAAAGGATTCACCTTTTTGACACCTTCCTCCTACATAACGTTTTTTTTTAATTTATTTCCATATTTTTTTAGTTTAACTCTTTTTACTAAAAATTTAAATTTTAGATAATATTTATTTATTTTTCTTCTAAAAACATAGTTGGACAGTTTTAATTTTTATATTCTAGATGACATTCCAATAAGATTGGTGCATACGATAATTCAAAAATTGAATCAGAATCCATATTTGATAATATTTATAATTTTTTTTAAAAATAATTATCGAGTATGATAGTTTATAAATTGGTAATTTTATTTATTTTTTAAATATATATTAATTTATGAGTCCGTTGAGATTCATATTAAATTTTCGAAAAGATTACTACTAAAGCTACCAATTCAACCCCACTCTATTAAACTTACCAAGTCAAACCCAACTACCTATTATTTTAAATCATCCACTACACTAAATTTCATCATAAATAAATCTCACTACCTATTAAATAAAATCCTACTAAAAAACCCACTACCTATTATTTTAAATCATCAACTACATTATACTAAAATTCATCATAAAAATCAAATAGATCAATGAGGAGCATACGGGAGAGAGAAGAATTGAAGAGAAAAAAGAGAAAATAACATGTCTTGCATTCTACCAGATTTTCGCTAGCGATCAGGATCTCCAATCAACGTTTCGAACGGTGAAAAGTTGCGCAAGGTCAACACGAACAACATATTAAAAAATCAGGACGATCGTACGGTGGACAGCGGCGGATCAGAGAAAATAAATCCGAACGGTTTTTGGCCTCTTTATGGAGATTGAGATCTACGATCAACGTTTCGAAGGGTGAAAAGTTGCGCAAATCCAACACGAACAACATACGGAAAAATCAGACGGATCGTAGAAAATAAATCCGAACAGTTGTTACCATGTTCTAGAAATAAATGAAAAATATTTTAATAAAAAACTTTAATAATAAAAAAGAATTTTTTTTAATAAAAAATAAAAAAAGATAATCATTACATAATCATTACATCTATTTAAAAAGCTTTAATAGAAAAATAGAAAAATTACAATGATAAAAAAATAATAAGTTTAGTAAAAGATTTGGTATATTTAAACCAACTCTTTCGGAAAAGCTTTAAAAGTAATATAGAGGTTAGCATTCTACATAATTTATATTAAGATAATAACACTATAAAATCTTTCTCCTTATTCTATTACCTCTTTTTGTTATTTTTGTTATTACTTTATTTTTTATTTTATAATAAAAAATTATTTATTAATCATTTTTTACAATTCATAGTAGGTTTGATGTTAAAATTTGTTTAAGGTTAACTATATATATATATAATTGTTTAACTAGTAAATTTTTTAATTTTTAGAAAAGTATAAAATAATAATATAATTTATCAAAATTAATTTTGTTGTCACCAGCATGAAGATCTTTCATATAAGCATTCAACATTGGGTTAGAGAAAGGATATATCACATAGGAACACAAACCAAATTAATCACTTTCTTATTGGTACGTTTCAGCCGCACATGGAGTCTTCAGATAAACCAAAAATCACGCTTGTATAAATCTTTAATTTAAAACCAAAGTTTGGTAATCGGTTGATATATATATATATATATTATGTATAAAAAGCTGTTCTATGTATATTCTTTCAAGAAATTTCAACTTTTTTTTTTCTCATATTTTCAAAAAAAAAATCCAAACACTAAACTGTGAGACCACTGTTTGCTGAGAGCTCATAGAATAAGAAAAATATCACTATGGAGAAGAGCATACCGGTTCGAAAGTCTGGCCACTCAACTGCCGATATTCTGACTTGGGCGGAGGCTCCGGTGTCTGCCTCCTCCAGCGCCACCGCCCCCGGGCACCGTTCTTCTGCTCGTTCCAACCAGGTTTATTTCTATATCATATGGTGGTTTTTATGCATGATTGTTTTCCATGCACATTTTTGTTTATCTGAAGAATGGTGTATTGGATAACAGCCTTCCGATGGAGTCAGCAAAGTGGTGTTTGGAGGTCAGGTTACTGATGACGAAGATCAATCTCTCTTGAAGAAGTAACATCCCTTTCTGTTCTCGCTTTACCTTTGCCTTTTTCAAAAATAAGATTTTTTTTTTGGCTTCACTGTTGGTAATTCAGGAAGCCATGGTCAGGCTACAAAATGAAAGAGATGAGTGGTAGCGGCATATTTGGTTCAAATGATTCACCTGAACCGACTAGTGGATCACACTTGCGCGTATATCAGGTAATCCATTGGATCATGCTAAGTGCTAACACCATCTCCATGAACATGATTGTGTTGAGCATTTGGTGATATGATTTTTCAGGAAGCAGTGAGTCAGATATCATTGGGTGGTGATGGCCATGGGAGTGTTCCTGCTAAGAAGCCTACCTCTGTCCCCGAGATAGCCAAGCAGCGGGAGTTAAGCGGCACATTGGGATCACAGTCGGATTCAAAGCATAAAAGACAAATATCAAGTTCCAAGTATAAGGAGATCAGTGGGCATGATATCTTTGCTCCTTCCCATGAAATTATGCCACCTTCATTGGCAACGCAACCCAAACAAGAACCTGTTCCACGCAATGTGCCAACTTCTCTCAAAGTTTCAAATGTTAGTTCATTTCTTTTTTCCGTTTCATAATCCCTTCTCATTATCCTTTTTATAAACTAGTTAGAAATTCAATTACATGCGTAATCACAAAAAATAATACTCCATAATTTCAACATTTATACAAAATGAGACAAGGATGAACGTTATAATTTTCATCTGCTAATTTCTCTCCATATGAGTGCTTTGATTTCTGTTGCAATTGTTATAGCCTGGTGGAGGTCAGAAAAGTGTCCAATTGGGCGGGGAACCTGTTATAAAGACGGCAAAGAAGATACATAACCAAAAATTCCGAGAGCTAACCGGCAATGATATCTTCAAGCAAGATGTCGGTTCAGATTCTGTCGAAAAACCCCTGAGCCGGGCAAAACTGCGAGAAATGAGCGGCAATAACATCTTTTCCGAGGGGAAGGTAGAATCTAGAGATCATCTGGGCGGGGTACGCAAGCCCCCTGGTGGTGGGAGCAGCATTTCCCTGTTTTAGGTTTTGATACATCATATATATATTGCGCTGCCTGTGCCTGTTTACCCCAGCGATTAGTGTATTTGCATTACATATATATTGATTATGCAAGTGCCCTTGATGCCTAACGACGATCGAGTTTCGGCATTGGAGTGGCTTCTGTATACATCGTTAGATCGTAATGTTTTAGATTGGAACCGTGGATGAAGAAGCTAATTGAGTCATTTTCCAAGAGTTTTTCTAGTGTTGTGTTTGTTGACGTTTGCTTTGGATTCATGACCAACTCTGTTGCTGTGGAATAATAACTCTTTGTTAATGAATAATATTATTATTGTCTATAACTCAATGCAAAGATGTGGGGAAATTTGAAATTTTATTTTTATTATAAAATCATTAAAAAAATTTAAAATATGAAACAAGTTTTCTTAATGGCCCCTTAATACTAAACATAGCCCAGGATAAAACTGCTACCGAAAAAGAAAGCAGTTTCGTTCGTTCTGCCAAAACGCCTCACAATCTTCAGTTTTTGGTTTTCGTAAACAGATGATGTAATGTTTCTGAAAAGTTCAAAGACAGACCCTGGTAAAATTTGCTACCACTGACCGACGACTATGCCTTGAGCTCTCATGATTTACATCCAAGCAATTCCAGCTTCACAAGGTAGTAAACTCCATGTTAAGCTTGATCATTGGTTTCTTCACGAAGTAGTAAAACCCTCTTCAGTTGGCGTTTTGATCTTTGAGCTTCATCAAGGGAAAAAAAACCCAGAGTTGCCTGAATAAGGAATGGTTGAAAATGGGGAGTAGATTAGGAAGACGAGTTGTAAACTTCGCGAACCTTCCATCTACCTATTGATTCCAAACTCTTTCAGCAACATCGAAGAAATAGCTTTCAAAACCATCCCATCGGCATCCAAGATCAAAATCAAACGAGTGCTTCAATCCCTCTACGGCTTCGACTTCGAACAAGTCTCTACTCTCAAACTGGAGTATCCATGAGGAAGTCTTTCTTTTCCTCTCTTCACGTTATTGTTGAGAAATTATAATGATGCTTGTCATCCAAGTATTTTGAGATGCTTTTTCTTTTTGTTGAAGTTTTATTAAAAAAAATTGTTTCATTGATAGAGCATAATTAGTAGTGTGGTTTTTAAAGGGTGGAAAGTTATTGAATTTATGAAATTGTTTTGGAGTTTAGCATGATTGTTGATCAAATCTCTTTGAATCATGTGTTGCCTTGTTGAGAAATCCAATGCCTGCTTGTTTTTTGTTTCATTGGAGGCACATTTCTAGTGGCCTGTTTATCAGTTCTAAGTTGTTTTCTGCTTTATACATTGATGTAATGTAGTGTTGGTAAGGAAGACATCGTTCAAGGCTGAGAGTTATTTGCTGAGATCACAGATCTTTTCCATTATGAGCATGTCCTATGATCTAAGAACAAAATAAAGTTTGATAATTGCATAAGATCACAGTTCCCTTTGAATATTTGCTATGGTCTTATAACAGCTTACCATTAAGATTTACATTACTGAACATGTCCCTTGCATCTTTCATATGGAAGAAAGAGATGCAGATATACTTTAAGATAAAGATATTGCATAATGATAACATTCATCTAAGCCTTGTGTAATAAGCTAGTCAAAGATGGAAAAAAGATGCACACAATGCTGTTGATGCTATTGCTTCAATCGAGCTGCTTGACCATTGCATTATAAAATGCTTACTGTGAATGAATTCATGAGACTGATCGCCTACGTCTAAAGCTGAGTCTGAAGCCAGCTCTATTTTGCCTTTGCTGTCCATCTCCATTGTAATCACTTTCTGCCATTATATGGAAAGAGTTCTTAATCTTCCTCCAATTCAAAATCCAACCAGATGCATTCTTGTGCTTGCTTGTTATCTTTTCATACTCTTGTTGAAGATCAGAGTAGTCATTTTGTAGTTCTGTCATCTTTGTCTTTACATTCTCGAGTTCTGATTTGAGGTTCTTTATCTCTGTGTTTGTGGATGGCCGGGGTTCATCTTGTTCAGAATTATCACCAACTGCCATTGGTTCCTTACCCTGCATTGCCATCCTCATCTTTGCTTGCTCCGAAAATAAAACCTGCATAGACACAAGTATTACGTGGTAATTTGCTATAGAATTAGGAAATGATAGTTTGTGTAGTTCTTTGAGAATCGGCTCATCGAGCTTGATAGCTGATACACTATAAATTCTCATGGGAGATATCAATGCAATTTAAGATTTTTGGATATGAAGTTCTGAATTAAGTTACCTGGACAACAATTCTTAGGGGTAGTCGATCATTTTGTGCAGCATGCATGCATGCATCAAACGATAGTTTCTCACAGTTCATTATTTTGCACAATCTTCTTCGGTCATGCTCAGATAATGAAGGATGTGTCTGAAAAGGATATCAATAATTAGATATTAACATCAAAGTCAACAAATGATATAAAAGAAATAATAGGCTTAGTGAGTAACCTTGAGATAGATGTCAATGGCCCTATACAGACCGTCATCACATGATCGAGCATTTTCTGGCAAGGATTCAGCAAGAGCTTGAAATTTTGTGATGGAAAGATTTGGATCCCTTGCTATTTCGGCCAGGTAGTTGTCTAATAGCTTACTAACATTTATTTTCCCTATCTTTTGTTGCTGTTGTTGTTCATGCATCAGGAAATAGTCCAAAATCCTTTGTACCACGTCTATGTTGTGCATTGTTCGCTGCTCAAGTGAACTGTTGAAGAAGGTATACATAAGATGGAATATAAAGCAGTTAAATTGCATGGTTATGAAAGGGATTCTCCTTTGGAAAGTATCTTTGTGGATTAGCTTGCTGAATTGTAGAATCTATTAATGAGGTAGAATGGCAGAATACTCACTTTATCATTATTCCTTGATCTTCATCCTTATAATTAGGAATCAGTAGATCGTTTACATTGGCATCTTCCAGCATCAATCCAATTCTCTTTTCAAGATCTGATATCAGAGCCGGAGACGCAGAATACACCACGGCTGTTTTCAACATCTGCAACAAGAACTTACATGTAACTGCTCCATTTTGAGAAGGAAGCATGCTTACTAGGCTTTCAATAATCGTTCTTTGTTCCTTGTTTTGTCCTGCACTCTCTTCTTCCTTCCTTCTCAAAATACTAAACTGCAAGTCACTCTTTCCAAACCCATATCCTCTCAGTCCTTCCAGCCCCTCATCCATATCCGGCAGCCACTTATCTGCATAATTCATTATGCATTTACCAATGATCTCTGCTTTTGTTCCTTTTGCTCTAATTGCTGTCATAATTCTCATGAAATGATCAATGCGAAGGGTAGCCACATCGTCAGACCACCAACTTTCTTCACTAACTATTTCTCCTGTTGATGAACTCTCTCTCGAAGCCTTATAAGCTATTGAGTCACAGCATCTTCTGACAATCTGAAGGTTTTCTGCCCATGGAGATAGAGTTTCACAAGATTTGAGGACAGTAATAGTGTCTTTCCACGAAGCCAGGACAACAAACGTTAGAAAAGATTCTGTCTTGCTTATCAGATTTCCGTCTTCAAATTCTTCTGTCATCTCTAGATATTCAGATGCACATCTTAGTGCAGCTACATTATTGGGGTTCAAGTCTGCTGGGCAGCCGTAACAAAATTTTAGAATAATCTCAAATGTATCTGGTCCACCAGGAAATTTCTCAAGCTTGAGATCATGCCCAAATTTTGAGATTGAAGGCTGAAGTTCCATCTGTCCAATGTAGCCACATTTTGATACCAAGGGATACTGTTTCAGGAGAAACACATGATAGCCAGCTGTTAGATACCGAGGTTAGCTCTCTATCCTTTTAGTCATTAACCTTAAGTTGACCAGTTTCTTGTGTTAATTGATACTACGTATATCGAAAGAGTAGATGGTTTCTTTCATCGTCCAACTTGATCAGAGATTATTCAGATTTTTTTCAGTGTGAAAAGTATGAATCCTTGAAATCTGAACTAAATAAGGGTTTAAAGCAAAATGTTTTATTTGCTAATCATCTATAGTGTCTATATGTGTGTATACCCATATCATATCACCAGGGGCTTTGAATGTTCTACAGTTGCCTTACTCTATGCTTTACCTTATTTGTGTTCTTGTTTAATTATTGAAGCTTTCTGCAGTTTAGTTTAGCAAAAGAAGGGTTAAGCAAGAAAAAAAAAGGGTCTTGATAGTTATACAGTTCATATGAAATGCTACACAAGATCTTCTTAAGTTTGCAGGTTACCTTGTGAACATTAAATATTACATCTTGAACTTGGATTGCTAAATCTGTAGGGATTTGAGTTGTGGCAAACCTGCATTCACCCAAAACAGAAATTAACCAAGAGCTTCAGAGATAATATACTTCGAAACAAATGGTAAATAGCTTATGTTGATTACAAAACAATAACTATGTTGTGAATTCTAGATTTTTTGGATTGAAGCTGGAGGGCTTGAATAGTAAAGAATGCATGCTTTTACCATGAGAGTTCTTTCCTTTCGAAGTTATCAGCTGCGATGATGAGTTTGTTTGGAACTTCGATGTTTTGATCATAAGTTTGATGGCCGGTGCCATCAGTGTCACTTCCTGCAGGACTTTGAGGCTGAGGCATTTGAAGAGGTTTCTTCATGCTAATGATCTTCCATCAAAAATAGGAATTTGAGATTGGTTGAAGAATATTTGAAGCAAAAGCAGGGTGCAGCTTGAATAAATGTGAGAAGCAAGTCTGTGGCTGGAAGACAAATATGGCCAAGTTGGTTGGTGGTGGACTGGTGGGCTTCTCATTTCACTGTTTTATTTTTTTTATATGAATAATAATGAGAGGAATTGTTAGGAAAAAGATGGAGATGGATCAAGGTTTGATGTGTTATAATTGAAGGGAATGTTGGGTATGATTTGTCAATTTCTGAACCACTTATGCCTTTGGATCAATATTATTTAATGGTGATTGTGTGGCCGATACTCTGAACTCCATCTCTTTGATCAGGCGAGGTCATTTAAGATGAATAG